GTCTCAAAGGCTACTGAGGCTAAGTCTGCTTCTACATAACTGTTTCTTTGCCCACACAGTTGTTGATTTCTCTTCCTGCAGCGAAATCTAGCGTTTGGGAGGAGGGACTGCAAGTAGACTTTTGACTTCCCGAATGAATACTGGTTAGCTCGCTCTACGCTCAACCAGCTGATAGAGGAACAACAAAACAGTGACGGCTGAGCCTGAGATCTGGCTAAAAATAATTTGACTGTAGGTTAGCGATTTGAAGGAAGTTGGATTAAAATTGCAAAGGAGAAGAGAGCGCTCCAAGATGTAAACGACGAACAAATGCGGTAGTAGCAAATTTTCATCACTCAGGAACTGTCCTCGCTCAACGAAAGCGTGCACAGCCGACCAACGGCGCAGCATGGTTAAATTCTCACATCAATTTCAAATTGATTTTTCAAGAACCAAAAAAAAAATTAACGGAGGTGCGTGGAAGCGTAAGTTTGTTATAGGCATACTACTTAAAGTGTGTACTTATCGGAAAAAAGAACGAAACACTAAAACGTTGAACCGCGGTGCATTCATAATTTGAAAATCCATATAGAGGCTCACTTTACTTCTCTCCAACATGTATGCAATCACTCCATTGACAAATTGCCAAATTCTTGCAAGAACGCTGTTGTACTGCGTTCGTTCATCTGTTGTTGTGTAGTACAAAATTGAAAGTAAAGTTATCGCTAAAATAGTGAAGAATAAAATTTGATTCAAGTTATATATATTTTTCTGACCTGTGAAGAATGTTTTCTCATGGCTTATCAAACAGCGCTGAATAATGAACAACAAAGGTATAAGAAAATACCACTGCATTACAATGCAAATTGGCCATGTGTGAACGAAGAGGTCCTCAGCTTGCAGGATCTGCAAGATAGGCATTGAACATAGAACCGGAATTTGCGGAAAACATAAATGTAAACTTATTGAGGAAATTTTCTTGTAATATATGCTGATCCGCAACTTACTTTTTCTACATAATCATGTTGATCATCATTATTTCCCACACTTGATGTAAGCAGAAGTGCTTTTTTTGCACTCTTTATGTTTGCTGTTTGGTACCTACGAGGCACGATCATTAGTAGAGACAGCAGTATACCGATGATAGTAAGGTAGTACAGAGGAAGGATTCGTTTAACTCTGAAAAAGTTAAAACTCAAAGCAGTACTCACTCCACACAGCAGTACAATCTCATACTGTAGTTGAGATTCAATAATGTTGATCGTTAAACTGAGAAATAAAAGTACCGTATGTAATAAAATGCGACTACTTGTTGAGCATCCAAATTTTGCTTCTTTGATAAGTTAAGCGCGGTGAGAAAACCAGATATCACAAAAAATCTGAAACATAGAACTTTTGTTGGATAATCAGCAGGTTTTAAATTCTGCTAAAAATTAACACAGTTGTAGTTTTTGCAAGCACCTTTCCTAAGATAACCCCACATCTTACGAATGCCATGAAAAATTCTGAGGAAAAGTAACACGCAAATGAAGCTGGTTGTCAAACCTTCTCATGGTTTTGTCGCATATTTGCTTGTAGCTGCTATCGCTGATAGGGTCTCCAAACCGCAAATAAAATTGGATAAGGTTGATACTTGGTAATTTGGTGAATGTTTGTTGATATAATCTGTCGTTCTGATGTTGGCTCGAAACTATGAAAATGTGCGGACGCAGCGATTCGTGGCATCATGACCGCTTTTAACTTAGTCATGATTGTCGCGCTAGCGGATTCGCATCAAGGGCAAGAAGGAGCGTGGGTCAGACCTCGGCGGCAGGTCTCCAGGGCAGAGATCCGTTTGTTAAAAAAAAAGCAAAGGGGAAATTGTATGGGATCCGGAGAGGAACTTGGAGTTCAATCCTAATTATGACCTCTTTCTTCACAACAAGAATTTTGAGGCCCCCCCCCCCCTCCTTTTCTTCG